ATGTGTAAAGAATGAACGAAAAGAAGAGACCAGGTTATGGCTTAAAGGCATTGTCAAACGGCATTGGAGGTAAGGGGGGCGGTGGAGGGGGGGGTGGCCTTAAGGATAACTAACATTTTTGTTGTCTTAATCATGAATGAGAAGCTAAACGAAAGCAGCGAAAGATGCAGACAGGCAAACTTTTCAGTACTGATTTCCAATAGATTAGGAGTTAAAGCACGCTTTTTTTCTCACAGCTTTATCAATATTGGTAAGAATAATTCCAGGGGCAATATATTTTAACAGTCAAGCAGCGGTTAATACACTTTTATTAGTGCTCCTGGTAAAGTCTAGAATGATATCACTATATAGGGACATACATTGAGATAAAGTGAAAGTAACCCGAATAGGAATATTGTTGTAATTTACAACACAAATTCCATCACGTTGATGAATTGTTTTTGTTATGGATCGTCGTTACGGTTTCTTGTAATGTCAAGGAAATTGTGCGATACCGTGGTCCGGTGTTGAATTTGTCTACGCTGCTAATGTTAAAACAAAAGTTTTCGTTTAGGTTGCGATTTCCTTACGAACTATTAAAAAACGAAAGGAGAGAAAAGAAAAAGAAATAAACACTGTTGCTGCAATCAAAACAGGGTTGCAAACTAAAACAAAAATGGGGCGTCGATAAAACCCGGAATACGGAACGTTCCCGAACATGCCGGAACATCCCGGAACATGAAAAAATAAAAATAACTTTCATGAAAAAAATAATAATAATAAAATAAAATAATAATAACAACATAATTTTTGTAAAAATTAATAATAACAAAATAACACAAAATAACAAAACAACGAAAATTTTGTCGCAATTTATTTGTTGGGCGAGTGAGGGTCCATGCAAATGACAGTAATGAGTGAATGCTTGCTTCTGAATTCTAAATTCACTCGCCCAACAAATTATTTGCGACAAAATATTGTCTTCTCATACTCTGAGATGATACGAGTTTCTTTTTCTTTATTTTTCGCATTTTTTTTGTAGTTACGTTATTATTAATTTTACAAAAATCATTTATTATTATTTTTTTATTTTATTTTTTTTTTCATGGATATTATTTTTATTTTTTCATGTTTCGGGATGTTCCGGGATGTTCCGGGATTTTCCGGATTGTCCGGCATGTTCCGGAATGTTCCTTTTCCCGGGTTTTGTCGACGCCCACAAAAATGCGCTCTCTATCTAAATATGGCAGCGGTTGGTAATAAATGAGGTCATGAAAGGTGTTGAGACAACTGGTAAAAGGCTGATAATGGCAGCCAGTCGGAGCATTCCAACATCATCAAAAAAAACACAATCTGAAGAGCATGAATTGCCACACGTCCCGTTGGCAAGATGAGAAGCAAACTGAATGAAAGCGTTTAAGAGTAGCTGCCAAAATTCGACCTTTTTGAAAGGTTACACGATTTCAGCCACGATATTTTGCAGAGTTCTAACTTATTGAAGTGCTTCGAGAAAAGTTTAACTATCAAGTCAATATATCTTCAAAGCAGGAGGCAAGGGAACATAATAGTGTACTTAAGATAAAACAGTTGAACCAAAGTACCAGTGTCATTGGATATGGTTTCAGTGTTAGATACATTTTATTACTTCTTGTTATTTTTTATAGAACCACAATCAAAGTTTTTGGTTATACCTCATGGTAGATTTACATTACGAAAAGTTATTGGATGAGTTTTTTGACATTCGAAATAATCAATGTCGGGTAAACACAGCCAAAAGCCTTCACTATTCCGGATGTTACCGAAACCGAATCTATAATTGTTTTATTATACACTGATTCGAAGAAAATAACGATAAACAACCATAAATTGCACACGCAACAGGCAGATTAGTTAGCTGCCTGCTAGTAGTTAACTTCCTTATCAGGTTGTACTGATTTCCAAAATTACCTCTACGCATTTAGGCAATGAG